TCTTTGGGGAATATGTTTCAAAAAAAAAAAAAGATTAAGGCTAATCCTAAAAGCAGCATGCTTATCCCAGAGTTTTGTATTAATTTAAAACAAAAACAAAACTGCCAAGAGTGAGAAGTGGAGACGTGGTGTGTTCCTAGATTTCTCATGGGTTCGCGTTATCACTGGACAAACATTATAAAAGAAAACCCATTCCAGGCCCTGGACGCAGCAAGCGTGCTTTCCTCTGGACTCCTCTGATACCCAGGAGAGCAGAGGGCCTGCCTCAAGGGCCATGGGACCCAAGAGCGAAAGAAGGGCTAGTCTATCTGACTTTGTGTTCATTCATTGTTTTGGTTTTGGTTTTGGTTTTGGGGTTTTGTTTTTCCAGTTTTACCTAGATGTAATTGACATACATAACTGTAGGAGTTTCAAGTGTACAGCATAAATGTTTGACTTACATATATTGTGAAATGATCACCACCATAACTGTAGTTACTATCCATCATTTACACAGATACAATAAATCTTCCACTGTTTATCCAAGTGTTTTCTAGGTGACTAACTAGGTGCTGAATTTACTGTTGCCCCTGAGGTAAAGATGAATCGGACACATTCTCTGTTCAAAAGAGGGGCAGCCTGGGCAAGGGATTTAGCTTGTCGGCAGTAGTATTCAAAGGCTTGCATTTGAATCCAGCTTTCACATTTACTAGCTCGGTGACCTTGAGCAAGGACTTAGCCCTCTGAGCCTCAGGCTCTAGGACTGGAAAACTCATAATAGTACCTCCCTGCCAACAGGCTGTTAAGGAGATGAAAGCACTTTCAAAACAGGTTTCAGAGAAGTTAGTTGTTTTCTTCCATTGTTATCATTACTATCGCTATGCCTGGAATCTGGGAGAGGACATCTGATGGTGCTGATACCACTCAGAGGGGGAGACCAGAGGCATATCTCGTGGGAGACTTAGGGAGGACTCAGTGACAAAGCAGGGCTTTTATAGGGACGTTGGTAAAGCCTATGATTTGGACCAGCAGCCATCCAGGAGAGGGCGGATTCTAGGCATAAAGGCTGGCCTTGTTAATATTTACAAAGACACAGAAGCTGAAAGGAAGCAGGGTGACCATGAGGTTTTTGGGAGGTGGCCTGTGTGTATGGAAGGGATCAGTGAGCTATAAGGCTGGAACAGAGTAGCCAGCGCATGGAGAACCCTGAGCGCCCACATGAAGGACTTAAATTTGCTTTAGCTAGCAATGGTGACTTTGAGCAGCTAATCAATAAAAGCAAATATGTATCATCAGTTGATATTAAAATTAGCTATATTGTAATTTTCATGAACTAAGTAATAGGGTGCATATGTCAGCCACATTCTGAGTAACTAAGGCTATTTGTTTTCTTTCATTCTAAATTGTGGCAGAGTTCGGTGTAATTCTTAATTGGTGTTTCCATTGATTTGGTTCTCTCCGGAAGTAAAATGAATGTCTGGGAAAAGGGATCCCAAGGGAAAGTTCCATCCTCAAGCGTGGTTTGGAAAGGGCAAGTATTTGGGTTTACTGTCCTTGGATTGTGGTTTGAAGGCCTGCTTATTTTTCCAGACTTTGGTCGACTTTGCCAGAAACAGAATGGAGCTCCCTTTCATCTTGATGTTTTGTCTTCTTAATATAGACTGGTTACAAAGGATACACCTATCTCAAGCTTGTTTATCCTTGACAGCCCATACAACTTTTAAGTAATAAATGTCTTAAGTAATAAATGTCATTTTTTAAAAATGTGTTGCTCTCCAAGCATACTGGGTATCCAAAGCCTTTTTTCATTCTGTTCAGACGAGTTTATGCTGATGTGTTCTGTAAGTGCTGTGCAGAGTATTTTCTAAGATAAGGTGGCCCTGGTAACCCAACACCTCATTATACTTTAAGCTATTACAATTCTGCCAAGCAATGAGGTGATAACCCTTAGGGTGACCGATTAGCAAGTGAGACCTCACCTGAGAATATTGTACCTAAGGTGAGAGTGTCAGGCTGACAGCAGAATTTTCCTGTACATAAGTAATGAGACTTTCCACCCTCATTTCTATTGGCCTGTAGTGGAGCTCAAGGTCTGAGCCACAGCCCTATTTACCTTGTCACTCTGACCCCTCACACAGAGAGGAAATTTAGCTTCTTCTCAGGCCATGGTTCAGAGTTGGTCATAGGTTTCTCGGTAATAAAATCTAAATTTGTCAAATAACATCCAGAGTATTTTTCCCTTGAGAACTTAATGGTTGCTTACGGTGACCATTAAAATTAAAATTGTTTTTAATTTTAGGAAGGTTAGAGTTTTTCTTACAGTTCTTTTGGGGGCTATCCTCAGCTTGATCATTGTTTAGTAAGTAAAATGGAAACTTACCTGGGCTTCAGTTATCTTTTTGGACCAATGCGATTCTAAGTTTAGACGGAACTATACAGTTGATTGTTTTAGGGCTCATTTCACATTGCCTGTGAGGGTCTGGCCCTGGAATGGAAGACGGCCTATGGGAAAATTTAGGCCATGCCCTCTAAACAAAAGTGAATTCCAGCCATTGTGGGCACCTGCCCTTCCCTTAACAAGCTCCCTCAGAAGACCTAGAACAAACGACCACACCACATAGTGAGGAGTAGCTAAGAACGGGATGTGGCCTACCAAGGTTGTGTCCACACACACACCGGTTTCTCAGTGTATTGGACACAACTTCTGGGAAACTGGGCTGTCCTAATATGCCCCCTGCATTATCCTATTTGATCCCAGCTCCTCAGCCGAAGCAAGACAGAGGTGGAGCAAGACAATCCTGGAGGCTGATTTGTTAATGTCCTACAATCTGTCTAAAGTTAAAGCAGACGTCACTCTTGTTTTGAGTAAGATGCGACATCCACTAAAATCACCAAGGAGAAATGAAATCCACCAATTGTCACCATAGCTGCTGCCCAGACAATTCTAGCTGGAACCTGACCTTTTTGTATATCCTACCCCTTCTACTGAGGACAGGATGAAGCAGTGCAGTGCTTAGGAGCCCCAAATGGAAAGAGAAAAAAAGTATGCCCCAAATCTAGACTTGGCAGTACTTGTTCCCATCACTGAAAATTTCATTAGTTGGATTGCAAACAAATATAAGCATAGCCCCAATGCATTAAAGCGTTCAAAGGAAGAGTTAGAATGATACAGAAATAAAAGGGCCCTTATCAGTCATCAACTAGACAAACCCCCTCAGCACAGGTGAAGAAAGACAATCTCAAGATACTGAGGTTAGAGCCAGGGGCTAGGATGCAGGTTCCCGGGTCCAGCAATCTGCACTCGGTCAGTTATTCTCACATGATACCCATTAGCATACTATAGTTTATTTTCTACGTAGCCCCCACAAGGACCCCGTTTAAAGACTCAAGGCAGATGATGCCCCTCTGGGTTTTGACCCTCTGATGGCTTTCTGTCTCACTCAAGGTGGAACCCAAAGTCCTCAGCACAACTTCCAGGTCCACGTGATGTGACCCCCACCACTTCTCTGACTTTGGTTCCTGTCACACTGCCCCTCAGGTGCTCGGCTTTGGCCACACAGGCCTCCTTGCTCTTCTGGGGGCACTCAGCACTCTCCCGCCAGGGTCTCTGCATTTGTGGCTCCCTCTAGAATGTTCTCTCCTAAACAGCTGCATGCATAATTTCGTTCACTTCCTTCAGGTCTCCACTCAACTGCCCCTTATCAGAGAGACCGTCCCTGGCCACTCTGTCTAAATTAGCAGTCCCAGCGACTCCTCCCGTCACTTTCTATTTCCCTATCCTGCTTTATGTTTTATAGCCCCTGAAATGGCGTATTTATTTGTTTATCACCAGTTCCCCTCATGACCATGGAAGCTCAGTTAATTGCAGGGAATGTCTTTAGTTCAGTGCTAAATCCTCAACACCTAGAACAGTACCTGGCATATAGCTGGTGCTCAAGAATATGTGATGAATGAATGAATATGAAGTTGATGTCTGCAGGGCTCTAGCAGCTGCATCATTCTCACACTGAGCCGTATGTTAATTTTCTTTGAGTGCTGGTGAGGTGAGAGGAAACCAGCATTCTATACACTACTACCAAGAATATAGACTAGTAGACCATTCTGGAAGATACTTGGCAATATCTAATGTACTTTAAAAGCACCAACTCACTTTTGGGCCCAGATAGCCCACAACTAGGAATGTTCCAAAAATTCATCAAGATGTGTATGATGTTCGTGATACTATTTTGCATAATCGCAAAAACTATAAACTGAAGTGTCCATCAGTAGGAGATTGGTTAAAGAAATACTTGTCCAGGGCCGGCCAAGTGGCTCAGTTGGTTAAGAGCTCACACAAGAGTTTGAGCTCTGAGCAACAGCAGTTCAAGTCCCAACCCAAGCTGAGCAGCCGCTGAGCTGTCAACAGGTGGCAGGATGGCTCAGCTAAAAAAAAAAAATACTTGTCCAGCCATACAGTGAAAAAATATGGAACTGTCATATTTAAAAATGTGCTTAATCTGTGACTGCTTATATGGAAAATTCTTGGCATACAAGTAAAAAAGCTAAGATGAAGAATGGCATTTATAGTATGTTCCCTTTTGTATAAATTTTTTAGATAAGATATAATACAAATGCATATGTGCTGGCAGAAGGCACAAAATATTTTTAGACCGAATCATAGGGAATTGTTAATAGTGATCACATTGGGGAGATGGGGCTAGGGCGTGAAGGAAAACTTTCACTTTTCATTTGTACATTTTTGTACTGTTTTTATGTTCCAGCCAAGAGTAGTCTCATTCTTGTACAGTTTTTAAATGTCAACACATGTTGCTTGAGTGATGAGATGACGGGCCATTTTTTGGTTGTTGCTGTTATTCTTCTCTGTTATTAAGAAAGCCACAGCTAATATTCACCATTTTAAAAATAAAATAAAAGCAGACGGCTCTATTGGATCTGCTCATCGTCTCGAACCACTCAGGTATGAACAGAGAAATGTATCTCTGGGATTTTTCCTTTTAAAACTAATTATAGAGGGGTGACCGGTTAGCTCAGTTGGTTAGAGCGTGGTGCTAATAACACCAAGGTTGCCGGTTCGATGCTGACATGGGCCACTGTAAGTTGTGCCCTCCTTAAAAGAGTCAATGATGCCATTGTAGCATGAAAGCAATGTGTAACCAATGACCATGGCTGTTCCCCAATAAAATATTTTTTTAATTTTTAATTAAAAAAAAAACTAATGACAGAACTCTTCACAAACTGATTGTTGGTTGTGAATGTAGCTTGGAATAAATTTAATTTTAAGAAGCACGGAGTTGCAACCTCACAATCAGGAGACAAAGCACTTCCTATGTCAGTGGGACTCTTTCAAAGCACTTTCACATGCTTTATCTTGCTTAATTTTCACAACAAGCCTGTGAAGTGGGTCTATCTTGACTTATTATCCTTACTTTACAGCTGAAAAAAAGCATGATCCCACAACTGTAAGAGAGAAAAAACAGGACAAGCAAAGAAGCAGCTCAATCTGCTGCAGTGTGCCGTCGCCGTACAGGCTGAATCCTCACCTTCAAATGTTCTGTTCCAAGTCTGCTGGATAATTTTCCCTCCATCCTTCTTGCTGTAACCAGCTCTGAGGACTTCGTGTAAAGCCAGGACGTAGAGGAGAATGGCATCATGGAATCCTTCAACAAACATGTTAACCTGGAAAGGAAACCCCAGTTGGGTGAGACCAAACACCAAATGACTCACGGTCAGGAGTAATGTAAGCAAATCAAAATGGTTAACAAGTTAGACAGGAGGCCCATCAGCAAGACAGAGGTGGGCAGAAGAGTTGCTAACAAAAATTGTGCCGTGATTCTCCAGCACTGGATTAGAGAGGAAAACCCTTCTCCTATTTGGGAATTTGGAAAGAGACAAGATATTACAGAAGTCAAGCAAATGGTACCTGTTGACTAGGTTAAGTATTCCAGGTGCATCAGCTTTTGCTGATAGTTCCCTCTGCACATGTACCCATCTTCTTCCCCACATTGCTGTCTCCCTCAAGCCAACTTGAGCCCAACCTCCCCTGTTGAGGTCTTCTCTATCTTCAACAGCCCCTCGGACCTCTCCATGCTTTAAATGTGGAACATGACGAAAAGAACAATAGAGATCCATTCATTCATATGCAGAGATCACTGAATGCCTACTGGAATGCTAAGGATGCAAAGAGGAGTGGGCACGGCCATTCCTCCTGCCCAGCATTGGCGTTCTCTATTCTATCAGCAATAACATCTCGGTTCCTCTTTCCAATCTGCATTCTGAGTGGTTCCAGTGCATCTGACCACTCCCTGCCTCCATCCTACGCTCCAAGGACAGGGGTGGAAACAGGCCTGGATGGCTGGTTTATCCCAGTTGAGTCGTGGCTCAGGTAAGATAGCCCCGCCTTCTAGAAACTTTACAGCCACCTGTGAACTCGGGGAAGTCATTTAAATCTCTTGGAGCCTCATGTTCTGTAAGCAACATTTGGCAAGTTCTAATACCACATTGAAACCCACTGTAACACTCACTGAACAGTAAATAAGCAAATACAATCTTGAAATACTGAGTAGCTTACAAATTCTGTATAAAAGTACAAAAAAAATGGAGCCTCCTTATTTCAGGAGGAAGTGTCAAGAATAGAATGTCATGCTACAGAATGAATTGGGCGCCCCACGGACAAGTACGGTGAGGTGTCATGTGGGTCATTCCTGCCCCACCCCTAGAAGGAGACCCCGTGGGAAGACAGCCACGACGGGTCTGCATCACCTGGTTCAAATACACAAACATTCACAAAAGACATGGCTCAGCCTCCTATCCTGAAGGGCGGTAAATCCTGTTTGCCTCCCAGAAGCAAATATTTCAGATTTGCCAAAGCCTACTGCTGAGAAGCAGGTTAGAATAATGGTTACAGAGCCTGGGCTCAGTGCCCACCTGCCACTTCCTAGCTGTGTTTCTGCACCACTGTGGGTCTCAGTTTTCCCCATCTGGGAAATGGGGAACATAGGAATACCTATCCCATGGGGTTGCTGTTAGGTTTAAACAAATGAATAGATGTGAACGACTTCTAACAGTCCCTGTCAGAGAAAGCACTCACTGTTAATTTTTGTTGTTGTTATTGTCTACAGATAGCATGATAAACCGAGGCACCCTGTATGGCTTCTAATTCCTAGAAGCAGCATTCAGAAAATAAGTCATCAGCTTATCGGTGTAAAAAACCTTACCGACCCATTTTACACTAAGATTCCTTGTTCCTGCTTTGACACCCCAAGTAATTCTTTTACTCCCACAGTGCCATGCCCTTCATTCCACCCAAGCGTGATGGCCGCAGCCCAAGCTGGTCACTTCCACTGACCCTCTGGGACAAGTAGGGGATGGAAGAGAGTGCTGGTTCACAGGAGAGCTCTGAGTTAGCTGCTGGACCCCAAATCAAATCCTAGCCCTGACACGTTACTTAATCTCTCTAATCTTCAATTTCCTCATGGTTTAGTGGGGGGTTTAGTACCTACTCATCTCGTAGAGTTCTTCTGGGGGTTAAATGAGCAAGTGCATGTAAAATATCTAAAATAATTCCTAGGACCGTGAAAGCAAATGGTAGACAACGGCTCTTACTCTTAGCCGTCAAACATTAGTCTCAGAGTCATTATTTTCTTAGGCAAAGCAGAATGTGTAGAAATAACATCTACTAGTCAAAGGTAATTTTCTGCTGATTTGACTATGTTCATTCAATTTTCCAAAGGGATATGAAATTTTCACTTAGACCATAAAGTCATCGTGGCTTGAGAAAGTATGCATTCTGATGAGTTAATGAGTTTTAATAAGTGAACATTAGCTGGGTAACTTAATTCTCAGGCCACAATTTTAAAAATCTTTTCAAAAGATCTTTGTTCTCTTCAATAATTGTGTAAAAACCACACTGCTACAGAGGGAAGTCACAGAATCATGGAAAATGGGAGACGTAAGGTGCTTCAGACAAGCTCTGGTCTAATCCTCTCCTTACTTGAAAGACCAGAAGAACCTTGCTCTCCCGCAGTCTGCCTGCACTCTGTACAATGCGTTCCTGGGAAGCCTAGGACAGCCCCTGCTTCAACTGTGAAGTACCAACTGCCGGGCATCACCTGTCCGCCTCTCTCCCTCCTCCTCCTGACCCCTCAAAATCCTCTCCCAGGGCCACCATGCTGCTGTTGACCACCTGGAGCCCTGGATGTGACCCCAGCACCATCCCTTGTCTGGCCCTTCCCCTCTCCTCTTTCTTGATATGCCCTTCTGAGCTGCCCCTTCTATTGGGTTGTCAGAAGAGTCATGACGTATCTTTGCAAAGAAAAACACAGAAAAAATATGTCATAACTTTTCCGACAACGCAGTATAATCCAGGATGGGAAGAACAATCATCTAGTTGAGATACATGAACTTGGATTATTTTGTCCTAGTAGCTTTAAGGGTAGAAGAGAATAGATGGGTTCTGAACACATGCGCAGGTCTGAAAACTCATTCTATCCTGATCTGCAAATGGATCGCAAAATTTACCTTCTTTCCTTTTCAAGTAGCTGAGTGTCTCCCTCTCCTGCCAAAATTAGCGGAAGAGCTGTTGACCCCCTCAAGGCCCGCTGGCACCCCAGCCTGCTGCGGAGGAGGTTTCATAACACCTACCTCATAGGACCTCAAGCCAGAAGCAAAACCCCAGAGACCGTCTTTTCTCAAGGAGAACATTCTCACATCCACATGTGTTTTTTAATGGGAGGAAAGCCCGTTAACACATTAGAGACTCTGAAAATTGGAACTGCAATTTTAAAAAAGGCTGGGGGCGGGGGGAAGGAGGGGAGTAGAAAAAAAATCCAGAGTATTAAGTTGCCTTTGGAACACTTTCCACTGGACCTCCAGGCTAAAAGGAAAAAGGCCATCTCATCTGTCCCACGGTCTCTGGTCAGAACAACACTTGGACCTCAAAGTCCTGACTGACAGATTGTGCTGTTCTTACTGATGGCAGAAATTAGGATTCCCCCTTCTGACCGACCTGTTCTAGTATTTAGCATCACTTCTAGCCAGAAAGCTCGCCCTTACTGTCATTAGCCATAAATCTTAATTAAATTCCTAAATGCCTCCACTCCTCTGCTGGATGCTGAACAAGCAGAGTTAAGAGAACAAAGAGGTATGAGCCCTGGGAGTTTGTAGTCTCTGCCAAACAGTACTGCCGCTCCATACGAACACATAGATGGACGCTACAGAGGCCGTTGTGAAGTGGGCCACCAGAGGGACAAGCCCAGGGTAATCATTATTTGTGCTAGGCAGCCAATCAAGTGTCTATCATTCAACAAGATGGAAACCATTCACCACCTTCCACTCATCCTGGAAAGTAGCCAGAACAAGGTAGCACGCTGGCCTTAACTCTCCCATCATTGCATCTCAATTCTCTTGATTTGGCCTCTAGCTGGCCAGCACCAGGTCTGCCAAATGAAGGAAAGCCATTTTTTGCTTTTGGCCTTTCTCTCAGATCGCACCTGTCAGCCACATCTATTTATCAGTGTTTAAATCTATCGTGGGAAAAGATACATAGAAATCTTGTTATTTTTTTTAACTAAGCATGAAGAGTTGCCGTTCCTGACATGGTTCCTATGTGTGACAGTGAGTGGAGTCTCTCATTTCCCTCTGGGGAGGCAAATTCATAGATGACTTCTCGATGCTTGTGTTCCAAACAAGTTAGCAATGAATGCTGTGGGTCTCCGCTGTTCTGTGACATGAGAGTGAATAGCATGGCAGTTATCTACCTTCTGCAGGGGTCTGGATATCTTAGAAAGCCATCCTGGGCTCAGCTCTGCCCCTGTAGCAATGCCCTAGACCTCAGATCTTATAGCCTGAAGTGTGGCTGCTGCATATAGAAGCAGGTTTTTTTCTCTCTCATCATCTAAAACAAAATGGATCATTAAACAGAAGCAGCCCTGGGAGAAGATCATTAAGTCAAGTTACGACCCCTCATTTGTCTCCCAAACCATAGCAACTGGCCGTCCTTGTAATGATTGGAACAGCAGTGCTGAGCACAGGTGCCACAATGCTGGCATCTGGCTTCCATTTACACGAGCAAACCTCAGCAAGGGAAGCTGCCTGTGAGGAGAAACGAGGTAAAGGAGAGCTGCGTGGAATTGGACTCTTGGAATTGGTGCGTGTGGAGCAAAGCAAAACAGAATGACTTTTTTTAAATTCTCCCAATGCGCCTTTTGTGCTTCCTTTGCTCAGCCCGCTCCAAACTCTTCGGAGTGTACTTTCTTTTCTAATAATGGCCCTTGAGCCATTCTCTACTGCTTGGGCCCACTTCTGCTTCTTTCAAATGCATTTTTACTTCTAATAAACTCCTTTTCCACAACTTTAAATAAATAAATACATAAAATAAAATCCTCCCAATGCTCACGCAGGGAATTTAGTCATCTGATATACTAGCCCTTTGAATGTGTCACACACATATCATACACAATGCTTCCCATCACCCATCAGCCCTGAAGGCTTAGTGGAGAAACGCACATACATGATGACGTAATCATCCCTGGCTTTCAGGCAATCAAGAGAGCAGTATCTGTCCTTAGCCTTGACGTCCCATCCCACCAGGGCCCAACCGCACATGCGTCCGGAGAGCTTGGTGACCTGACCCCACAGACAGCTCTGGACACGTGCTGGCCTCTGTCCCCAGGGGTCTG